GGAACACGAGGAGCTATTATTGCCCTTCATAACGAAGGGTTCGGCGTCACAGATATTAGCCGCCGGGTTGGTGTCCACAGGAACACCGCTGCACGATGGATTCGGCGATACCTCGAAACTGGTGCTACAGACGACAGGTCTCGGAGCGGCCGTCCATGCTGCACCACCCCTCAGGACGACCAGGTTGAGTGGTTTATTTGGTAGCATAAATTAATGTGGCAATATTCACAAGTATCACAAATAATTTTGTTAACAGGGAGCTCCTCATATTTCATACTATCTATTTATCACTTCCCGACCTTATTTATAACGGTTTGTTTCACTTGACAAGGGCTGCCAACATACGGCTGGAACAACTCGCCTTTCCCAATACCTATCGTCACTGGTCTCAAATTGTTCACACTACAGTATGCACCAATACTTTTTGTTGCGAGTGTACCTTGTCATTCCGTTGGTGTTGAGGCAGCATGTCTCATCTGGCATGGTGCTCTTTACTGGATTGCTCCTTTTCTTCATTGGCAAGACCTGGCATTGTTGAACATAAGTTTTCATGAATGCAAAGGGCATTCTGGAAACATTACAAACTATGGTTTGATTTAAGACTAAGTTAAATTTCACTTAACAGTCCATGTTATGTTCTTTTTCAAATTTAATTTCTGAATTAAAGTTCAGCCCTAAATTTGGCAGCAGAAGTTTAGCCTATGTGGAACTCTTTTATTGGTAATGAACCATATTAGAATATTAGCCATGGCTTTGGTAAGAATAGAGAATACATTAGGCATCATACTTTCCCCCTTTTTTATTAACATCTGGTGTAAGAGAAAATAAAACTAGAAGTTCAGAAGTTTTTTGAGGCATTACTGTTGTTGCTTCATCATGCAAAAATATTTGATCTAAAAGTTTCCATACCAAAGAAAATTTTCTCCGCAGTTAAGCAAAGTATTTGTTCAATCAGACAATAATTGTTTATGAACTCCACTTCCTCCAGATGTCTCACAACACAAGATGAAGCTTCTGGGAGCCAGGCCTAAGCAAACCCAAAATAGTTAGCTATGTAGGCCTACTTAGGGAACTCATAACTTCTGAAATGACTACAATGGATTTTTTTTTAGTTAAATAGTTAAAGCTTGCATGCAACAATATTTTTTTAATTTGTAATTTAAGAAGTGAGAGAAGCATTCAATTGAGTTTGTCTGGAAGTAAAACTTAATGTAGTCTACCAGTAGTCCTCGGGTAACAGATGGATGACCTGGGACTCAGGAAATTGCAAAGTCCTCAAAACCGGTTTGGTCTTGGTCCCAAGGTTTCCAATTTTACGGTCATTGCCTATACAGTAATACCTGTACCGCGATTTACGAGGTCAATTGAACCCACAGAGGTCCATGTAAAATGAGAAACGCGTAAATGGAATAATAGAACATATGGGATTAATTGAAATAGAGACTGGGCTGACTCCCAAACTCCACTTTTTCCGACACAATACCTATGTTCTAGTAAAAATAACATCTTAATTTTATGATGGTATGCACACACAATTAATATTTAAGAGAAATACAGTCGCCAGGTTAATGTCCATTCAAATAATGGACTCAACTCCCCCCCCCCCCTTTTCCCACGCTCGCTGGCTCCTCCCTCTCTGAGAAATGTTTGGGTGAAAACACTAGATTTTAAGGTATAGTAATAAATAATACCTCAGACTAAAGTTAGGATAATATAATTGACATTGCTGGATTCCTTGCAAGACCAGGAATATTTTGAATATACACGTCATATATTTTGCACAAAAGATAACATATTTGCTCTGAGTAAACAAAATTCTTACATTAGATCTAAAATTTGTATGTCTAATGCAAAATCTATGATGTTTATATTCAAAATGATCATCATATTGTAAGAATTCCAGCAATGTAAATTATATTCTGGCTGGGTAATTTGTATGAATTTTATGAGCTAAAACAAATATCTAAATTAAATAAAAAAAATATACTTCACCCAAACACTATCTGTCAATCAAAATACCCCACCTCCACCCCCCCCCTCTTCCCACACTCCCTGGGTCCCTCCCTCCCTCCCTCCCTACCCCTCACACCTACCTTCCCTCCCTACCAGAGAAATGTTTGGGTTAAAACAGTATATTTACGTTTTTAGTAATAAATAATACCTCAGACTAAAGTTAGGATAATATAATTGACATTGCTGGATTCCTTGCAAGACCAGGAATATTTTGAATATGCACGTGATATATTTTGCACAAAAGATAACATATTTGCTCTGAGTAAACAAAATTCTTACATTAGATCTAAAATTTCTATGTCTAATGCATAATCTATGATGTATATATTCAAAATGATCATCATATTGTAAGAATTCCAGCAATGTAAATTATATTCTGACCGGGTAATTTATATGAATTTTATGAGCTAAATAAAAAAATTATACTTCACTCGCGTATATGAGTAGATGCACTGCGTAAAGTAAATTCTGGTTCTGGCAGGGTACTGCGTAAATGTAAGCAGCGTACAAAAACCCCGCATAAAGTGGGGTATTACTGTATATAGGATCTCAAATTACAGTACGCGTATCCATAGTGTGTGACCCCGCTTATATGCATATGACCCTGTAGTGGACGTCTCCCCTACAACTGCTTACACCACTCTTGACACAGTAAACCACAATATTTAAGATGTAAGAATTTTATATTTGTTGCTTAAGACGACCCCCTAACTTTGGGCAGATTTTTTCAATGTTCAAATTTCGTCTTATAAGCCGAGATATACGGTACCCAAAAACCCATTGAAACAATGGTTTCGGTTAACGAGTTTTTCGGTTAACGAGCAACCTTCAAGAACGGATTGTGCTCGTTAACCGAGGGACCATTGTATAGACATCATATATTTTGCATGAGAGATAAAAATTATAGTACATTAGTGTTGTACATTTAAGTAATGTACAAGTTTTTCAACTGTATTTTTTGGCAGATAAACAAATAACACTAGACCTTTGGTGCCAACTGTTACAATACATCCCTCCCTCTCCCCCATCTTCTCGGCCGGTTCTAGTGTATATGTATATATATATAGTGATTAAGGATGATTTGGGATTTTAGGAGTGTTTCTGACTTTACGCATTTCTTGGCTTAACACGAGGTCCCAAGGCGTAACCCTCGCGTAAGTTCTGGAGTCTACTGTACTTAAATGTACTACACTGTGCAAAATATGTGATGTTTGTACTCAAATTATTCTTGACCTTGCAAGGATTCCAACAATGTGACATTTTATAAGATAAAACTTTTAAGCCTAAAACTAACTACCTTCACCCTGTTTGGGGAATGCTTCTTAGGGAGTCTTCTTAGCCCAGAACCCCCAAAGTTTTTGTCTGAATCTTCCGAAATCTGGATTTACCGAGTCCAGATCTTTGAGGGTTTACTGTACTGTACATTCAGTAAATGGGAAACAATGGAGCACCTTACAGTTCATCTTTATTCAAGACATCTTCAGGTCATAAGACCCACTAATACCCCACCCCTTCAATGGGTGACCTTCTATTGCATCAGGACGGGTCAGTAACATGGCCCATTAATCTCCCACCCGACCTTCACTCAAGTGTTATAGCGTGATTTTTTTTTTTTTTTAAGGGAATTAGCCCACCTGGGCACAGGTCACTGACCTGTGATAGCTGTTTAGTAGAGCTTGATGTAAACAGTTCTTGCGTTTTCTGTTTATTATTGAAGCAGGTATACACATAGGTGCAATCTGAGAGAATATATTGTGAGTCTCTCCAGGGAAGTGTTGTGAATATCACTTTGAGATAACACTTGGGTTAAGTGCCCAGCTTCCCTGTCCAGTGGTAGTAAGTAAACTGCCCTTTCTGGGCATGAGGAAATGAACCGGTTGTTTGCTAAATCAGATGACCCACACTCGATCTTTGAGAGGGATAAAAGCCAAGTTACCTAGAGTCGTGAATAACATGGTGACTTACTTGGTGAATAAATTGGTGAATTTCTTGGTGTTATTCATTTTGGGGGGGTGTAAGCAGTTCCCTCCTTCCTCACTCAAGCGTTGCTAATTGAGATGGGAGATGAATTTGATCCCATAAGAATCCTGTCTGGTGGCGCAAGAACTATAACAACATGTATGCCACGCTCTTATCTTCCCTGATAATAACGGTATGAGAGAGAGCACATCAAAATAACGCCCCCATGGGACTTTGCTACCTTTGCTGAAGGGAGGTACCAGTCAGCCATCTTCACCTGAGCTGACCCAGGGGCGCTTATTTTACCGCACCTGACCCTTCACCCAGCCATGCAATGACAACATTTGTGGTGCAAGGGCATCAGCTGTGTACAACCTACCACTCCAATACAAATAAAAGGAGTGGTGAGGGGACGTCGGTACCAGCCAATACCCAACGGAGGACCTGAGGTGCTTGCTTACAACACCTGTGAGGAGGAGATGGAGTTAAGCTATTAATTGGGGACTTGCCAACAACCTTGCCTTTACCAGCCGGGTGGACAAGATATCCGGTTAACCGTACCTGCAGACAAGTCAAGTCACCTGTGGGTGATACGCCTGTTGAAGTCAGTTGTATTATAATTAATAATATCTTGTCCCGTTGCTAAGTTTGAGACATCAGCCATACTCTCTCCTTCAACAAGATGAAGCACACTGATCCAATGTATGGCAACACTTGGGGATTACCACTTGTGCTTACCATTCGTAACTAATATTTCCCTGCCAAATTGTAAAGTACAAACTTTGAAAGTAGAAACCCTATATGTACCAGCCACAAAAACCTTCAAAATGCAGAGACTAAATATGTACCAGCCTCAATTAAAACTTTAATGAAGGAAAGACAAAATTCCAATTATCACTTTGTAGACTTTTCAAAGGTGAATCAGGTGGTATGATATTTGTTATGACTCTTTAAGAACATAGGTGGTAAGTTAGTAAATATCACCGATTCTTAGATTTTATATTCTATTGATATTACTATTTTTACAGAACTAGCAGTGAAGTTCTGAATGTATTGGGACAACTGATCAAATTACTTCAGAAGGGTCGCAGCAGCCTCCTTATTCCTCGCAAAAAGACCATTGATGAGCTTATGTCTAGTAGGAATATGGTAAGTGCCAACTTGGTTTTTAAAATTAATTTAGTGTAGAAGTGTCAGTTTGGTTAAGTTCTCTAAAAGATTTTCTCTTTCATCATCATCATCATCATCATCATCATCGTTTTATTGCCATTTTCCACTCTTGCATGAGTTAGTTGCGGTTACCTGATGGCAGCTCTCTATGCTGCACAGTAAATTTTTACAACCTCTCCTCATGTCATTCTTGACTTACCACTGACTGTCCTCCCCTCTACATTTAGGCTCGTGCACCTCTTGACCCAATTGGTCTCATTCATTCTCTCCACAGTCCTAAACCATCTCAACCACATACATTCATCATTTCACTTGGAGGAAAGGTCCTCTTGCTGTCATTTCTAGCTCTTGCAACTGAGCAGGCTTCAGCACCCCCACAAGCACTGATCATGTCACCCAGGTAACGGAACTCATAGACACAGTCCAGGAACATATCCCCAATGTTGAGTTTCTCAAGCCTTGCTGTGGGCACATGGATAGCTGCACATGCAAAACATTTAAAGTAAGCAAACATTCCACAGTCTGGTATCTACTCCACTTCACCTCTTATGTACCCAGCTTCCACATACTTTGCAAATTACTGAGTTGCACTCAGTACCCTTCTTTCAGACAGCACATGGCCATTTTCCACTTTCCACCAGAGGTCCTTCACCCACACCACTCATTACCACCACATTAATTTCCGGCCATTTGTTGCTATTCCATGCTTTCGCTTCTTAAATGTCTCCACTGCCTCTTCAATACCACCTGTTATCAACAGTGATTCATATTGATTGCTTCATTGAATCTAGTACAGTTTATTATCTATGTTCAGGTCCTCTTCCTTCTCAAACCTCTTTAACTCAATTTCTTTATATTCATTGGGGTTCCCATTTTCAGCTGGCAAATTGTTTTTGTAGTCATTTCAATTTATGCCATTAAATGAAATAGTTCCTGAAGGTACTGTACAGTGATACCCCGATTTACGCAGTCAATTGAACCCACGAGGTACCGCGTAAAACGAAAACCTAAAACGAAAACCGCGTAAATGGAATAACAGATCATGTGGGATTAATTCCAATAGAGACTGGCACGACCCCCAAACTCCACTTTTTCCGACAATACCTATGTTGTAGTAAAAATAACATCTTAATTTTATGATGGTATGCATGCACAATTAATATTTAAGAGAAATACAGTTGCCAGGTTAATGTCCATTCAAATAATGGACTCACTCTACCCCCCCTCTTCCCACGCTCACTGGCTCCTGTCTCTGAGAAATGTTTGGGTGAAAACACTAGATTTTAAGGCATAGTAATAAATAATACCTCAGACTAAAGTTAGGATAATATAATTGACATTTCTGGATTCCTTGCAGGCCAGGGAATATTTTAAATGTAAACTTCATATATTTTGCACAAAAGATAATATATTTTCTTTGTGTAAACCAAATTATTACATTAGATCTAAAATTTGTATGTCTAATGCAAAATCCATGATGTTTATATTCGAAATGATCATCATATTGTAAGAATTCCAGCAATGTAAATTATATTCTGGCCGGGTAATTTGTATGAATTTTATGAGCTAAAACAAATATCTTCACTAAATAAAAAAGATGTACTTCACCCAGACACTATCTGTCAATCAAAATACCCCACCTCCGGCTCCCCCCCCCCCTCTTCCCACGCTCGCTGGGTCCCTCCCTCCCTCCCTACCCCCCACCCCCCACCTTTCCTCCCTACCAGAGAAATGTTTGGGAGAAAACAATATTTTTACCTTTTTAGTAATAAATAATACATCAGACTAAAGTTAGGATAATATAATTGACATTTCTGGATTCCTTGCATGTCAGGGATAAAATATTTGCTTTGTGTAAACCAAATTAGTACATAAGATCTAAAATTTGTATGTCTAATGCAAAATCCATGATGTTTATATTCAAAATGATCATCATATTGTAAGAATTCTAGCAATGTAAATTAGTTTCTGGCCGGGTAGTTTGTATGAATTTTATGAGCTAAATAAAAAAATTATACTTCACCCGCGTATATGAGTAGATGCACTGCGTAAAATTAAATTCCGGTTCTGGCGAGGTACCGCGTAAATGTAGAATCACGTAAAGCGAAACCGAGTAAATTGGGGTATTACTGGACGTGAAATGTGAGCCGACTGAAGGAAAGTGATGAAATGTGGTTATGTTCTGTAGTTTGCAATTTATGATATGTTTCTGACCTCTGCAACAGCCATTAGCTGGTGCAGGCAAGACGCTTCCTCACAATATGGCTCATACTGTATATCCATGGCACATTTGTGCAAAGCTTTTGTGCAATGTCTTGGGCTGATAATTGCATATAAACATTACACAGAGCTGAGGAAGAAAAAAAAATTGATATATAACTTTAGAACTATTTTATGCTATGACTTGAAATATAATGATACAATATATTTACACAGTACTGGGGTCTCACAGGTCACACACCTCTGATCCTCAGCTAAAAAATGGGTCTTTTCAGTATTAATCCTATAATTTTATTTTTTTTTTAATTTCCAGAAATCTTTAACGCCACCTCTTCCAGGAGATATAGCAGTCAGTTTTTATCTTCAAGCTCACAAACTAGTCTTAGCTGTGTACCATTTATCCAACTCTGCTGGGACAATGAAATTTGAGAGTGTTCAAGCAGAATGTGCTGTTCCATGGTTGAGTCCAGTACTTGTGTGTTTCACTACTGCTCTTCATCTTGCTCACCAGCTTAGAGACAAGGTTAGTGTTTTCTTCTTCATAACTGGTTTAATTGACAGTGCCTTGTTTGAAGAGAAATCTTAAGAATAAGAAAAATGAATAGTTCAGGAAACTCAGATGAAGTAGTGCATGAGAAGGTTGAGTGAACTCATTAGAGAGAGAGAAATGTCCTTTTCCATTCTCTTGATCCTCTTATATTTAGTAATGGTTAAAAATTGTTGTATATTATTATTATTAGATGGTAAGGTTCGATAATATTTATGCAAATCCTCATAGAATTTGTATTTCCAGATATCTGTGTTCTCACAGTTTAAAGACTTCACCCCCGATTCATGCAGTGTATCTACAATATCTTGTTAAGACCACCAAACTTATATCATTAGACTCTACTACATGGTGTAAATGTAGGTTTTTATTTATTATGTGTATAAAGTGCAATATATTATCCTTATCATTTGTTTTGGGTTTAATAGTAGCTTGTGAATAATATTGTAAAGTTTGTAGAAATGTTTAGTAAAGCAGGTATGTTTAGTGTATAGTTGTTGTATATATGTACAGTAGTCATTCAGTTTCAGGTTGACAACCCTTTATCCGAAATTCCGAAAACCGAAAAGCTCTGAAAACCGAAAGTTTTTTGTGGAGCATTTTTTTTTTTTTTTTTATTATATATATATATATATATATATATATATATATATATATATATATATATATATATATATATATATATATATATATATATATATATATATATATATATATATATATATATATATATATATATATATATATATATATATATATATATATATATATATATATATATATATATATATATATATATATATATATATATATATATATATATATATATATATATATATATATATATATATATATATATATATATATATATATATATATATATATATATATATATATATATATATATATATATATATATATTGTTACGAGTTGGGGATTTAGAATATAGTTAAAGGTCTACCCAGATCCCAACAGGCAACAAAAAAACAAAACAAAGACAATCGGACTATAAAAGGGTAGACAAAGGATGCGAGTTTTTGTTGTGTATAATAAAGTACCATAAATTCCTTAACAAAATATTCAGCTATCTATAAGTTACCCTTAACCATACTTAACCTAAACATTAACAGTATATACATATTTATACAACATACAATAATTTAAAGCAAGTGGACGCTGGGGAGGCAATATAAGATTACAAATACTTAAGTGCGGAGCTGAGATGGCTGACGAGCAAGGCTGAGTATTGTAGAAGACGGTAGGTAGTCACTGTGCCGTAGGTTTCCAGGATAGGTGGTCCTGTAGTCACTTCCCAGAGTGATCTCAACTCTCCTCGAACTCGAGCTGACAAAGAAAACTTGGAGGAAGTGACGCAACAACCAGGATATGGAGAAGGGAAACCCCGGAGTGGTAACTAAGATGAGTCATACTCGTGTCTCGTCCCTAGATGGCGTTGCTCGTGGTGCTGGGTAGGTAGATCAGGACAATAGATGGCGTGGTTCGTAGTGCTGGGTAGGTAGATCATGACAATTGGTGGAGGGGTTCGTAACACACCCCCCCCTCCAAAGACCTCCATAGCGCGGGCGCGAAGGAGGTGATCACCTGGTGCGTCTGGAGAGTAGCTGCTGCATTTCCACTGGAGTTCGGGATAAGGAGTCTGCAATCAGGTTGGATGAACGTGAGTGGGTTATGGTCGGTGAAGACTAGGGTTGTTTGTGGGCAAGACTGGAGGTAACATTCAAACTTCTTTATTGCCAACACCAGAGCCAGGGCCTCCTTCTCTATGGTCGAGTAGTTGGTCTGTTGTTTTTTCAACTTGGCGGAGTAGTATGCCACAGGGTGAAGGACATCAGTGGTTGGGTCGGGTTGTAGGAGCACAGCCCCAACTCCGACACCACTAGCGTCGATTTGCAGATGGAAGGGCAAGGTGTAGTCAGTGGGGTGGACTACAGGCTTGGAGGCAAGGAAGGCTTTGAGGCGGTGGAAAGACTGGTCGCACCTCTGGTTCCAAATGTAAGGGACCGCAGAACTGGTAAGGTCTGTGAGGGGTCCGGCCACGCTGGAGAAGTTACTGCAGAACCAACGGTAGTAGCCGCACATCCCCAGGAAGCGCACGAGTTCCTTCCTCGTCCTTGGCGTGGGGAAGGATAAGATGGCTTTAACGTTTGCGTCCTTGGGTCTCACCATACCATGCCCAACGATATGTCCCAGGTAAGTCACTGAGGCCCGGCCAAAAGCAGATTTAGCCAGGTTTATGGTGAATCCAGTCTCTTGCAGTCGTGCGAACAGTATCTCCAAACGCACCAGATGTTCGTCCCAGCCGTCCGACACCACCACCAAGTCATCCAGGTAGGCGAACGTCCCACCTAGGTCCTGAATTAGGTAGTTGATGGCCCTCTGGAATGTGGCCGGAGCATTAGAAAAGCCAAACGCCATAACCAAATATTGAAAAAGTCCAAATGGAGTTATAAATGCCGAGATTATTTTTGCCCTATCCGTGAGTCCCACTTGATAATATCCTTTCAACAGGTCCACGGTAGATATAAATTTGGCACAGCCTATGCTGTCTATTATATCTTCAATCAAAAGTAAAGGGTAGGAGTCTGAGACAGTGACCTGGTTCTCTTTACGATAATCGGTACAGAAACGAAAAGTGCTATCGGGTTTTGGAATGAGAAGGCAAGGTGAAGCCCAGGGGGAGGTACTAGGCTCAGCTAAGTTATGTTTTAACAAAAAATCTACCTCCTTTTTCATAATCTCTCTTTTTTGTGGATTTAGTCGATATGCTGATTGCCTAATGGGTTGTACATCATCTGAGATTAGCTTTATATCATGTTTATGCATATTGCAAAAAACCCTGGGAGGTCTGACGGGACTGTATGGAAACAAAGGATAATAACTTAGGAGATCTTTTTGCTTGAGATGGATTCACAGAAATTAAGAAAAATACCTAATCCGGTTGTTGAGTAGTGACTGTTCGCAGGGTTTCCTTTAGGTAGAGGGAAGTCTAAATTCTCCAATAGGTCCATGTCATCTGTCTCCGGCTCCGGCCCTGACAAAACCGTATGCAATACAGGTAGGCTTATAGCCTCTGGGATGTCTTCCTCTGACTGCCTGGGATGGTAAAGTTCCATGAAATTAATGTGAACAAGTTGTGAATCTTTTCTGTGATCAGGAGTATGGACTATACAGTTGAGGGGAGATAGTTTATTAGCATTGATTTGAAAGGTTTGATGGAACCGTTCCAAGCAACCTTGGGACGGTGGGTGGTAAGCCGAAGATGTACAATGGTCCACACTGAGGTCTTCCATCACCTGTTTGAACAAAGATGGATCAGATTGTAGGGCTTTAATGAGCTCATCCTTACTAATGGTCTTATTGTACAGATCTTCTGTGGGTAGGAAGATATTGGAGGTGGTTTTAGATGACGAGGGCCCATTTCGCACACTCTGTGACCGGGTGACAGCACAAGATGGGAAAAGGTGAGGAATAGTTTCTTCAAGGTCAGTGGTGGAGTTGACAGGTAAGGGAGAGTCGACTGTCTTTATGTTGGGAACCACTAGATCTCCAACCAAGTCATTACCCAATAATAAATGAATGCCGCACACAGGCATTGGGTCTTTCCTAATGGCTATTTGCACTTCCCCAGTAATCAAGGGACATTGGAGGTGCACTTTAGCTAAAGGATAGGAAGAATGGGATGAGAGATCTGAAATTAGAACACTTTCATTAGTAAATGCGGTAGATATATCAGGAATGACGTTAAACAGGAGGATAGATTGTGCTGCGCCCGTATCACGTAGTATACGAATAGGGAAAGAACGAGACCCCTCTATGATTGAAATTTTTCCCTCATAGGTGAATGAAGAGAAGAGATCCTGATGGGGCCTTTCCACATTGGTGGTTGCTATTGGTTTGGATTTGGGATCCAGGGAACTACTTTTAGCAATTCGACACTTTGGGTGTTTACAAGTCTGGATCGTATGGCCTGGGTTTTTACAGTAAGAACAAGTAAACTTGGTTGCATCAGGGGGGGTAGGTGTGGGACCTTTCGACCTACCACTCACGCCCCCAAGGTTATCATCAGAGGAGGACCTAACATGTCGGGAAGTACCACGTTCTCTACTGCCCAGTGACTCCACCAGCAAGGCGTACGCATCAGCCAGCTCAGCCGCACGCCCTAAATTAACCTCTCCACGCTCCTCCACATGCTTCAAGATGTGAAATGGTATCTTGCTCTTCCACTCCTCCAGGACTACCAAATTTAACAAATCCTGAAATGTGGAGGTCTCTGTAGCCTCTAACCACTTCTTAAAAACCCTAAGCTTTTCTTGAGCAAACTCAACAAAGGTGTGTGAAAATGGTTTGGTTAGTTTACGAAACTTCTGCCGGTATCCATCTGGCGTGATAGCATAAGAGGTGAGGATATTCTTTTTTACGTTATCATAGTCATCAGTCTGGTCTAAACAGTTATAAACTCTACGAGCCTTACCACATAATTTAGGAACTAACACTGACACCCACTGGTCCTTTGGCCACTCATTCTTCCCGGCTATTTTCTCAAAAGTCCAAAATGACCCGTCCATATCGGATTCATCAAACCCGGGAACAAGGGAAGAAGCAGTAGCAGGGTTAAAAGCAGCTAGTTTCTCTGTAGTTCTTTCAGTCTAACCTCCTGCTCCAACTTGGCCTGTTCCAACTTTTCCTCCTGCTCCAACTTGGCCTGTTCCAACTCGAGTTCTTTCATTTTGATTTGGAACTCGAACCTAGCTCGTTCTAGTTCTAAGGCGTCTACTCTTTGTGCTTTTTCTTGAGGGCTAGCCAGACCTGAGGCAACTTCTGAGTGAGGAGGGGTGGTGGATAGTGGTTGAAGTTTCTTGGACATGGGCGTTAATCGGTCAACAGCGGATTATTTTAAAACTTCTTGTTGAACCAACATTTCAATTACAGTTAACCCTCACTTTACACGGTTAATGTAACCCGGAGGGTCCCGCGTAAAGTGAGGAACGCGTAAAGTGAATAACATAACATATGGGATTAATTGAAATGGAGTCCGGGCCGATCCCCAAACTCTACTTTTTGACGACACACAACTATGTTGTAGTAAAAAATTTATCTTAACTTTATGATGGTATGAAAAAACAAGTAATATAGAAGAGGTTAGGTTAGGAAAGATAAAGGTTAACATAGGAAAAATAAAGGTTAGGTTAGAAAACTAAAAATTAGGTGTAACACTCACGGTAGTAGAAGAGATGGGTCGGCATACGGGGATGGAGGCTGGTTCCGAGGCAGAGGGCAGATTACTGGCCCTCAGGTGAATCACCATTACTAGGTGAATCACCATCACTGTCACTTACAGTTGTCAGGGCTTCCCTGACAAATCCCTCAAAGTCATCTTCACTGCCACTATCACTGTCTTGGGCTGGCTGTGGTGGGTTGCGGGCGAAGAAATCTGTTATGCTTTGCTGACGGCTGGCGTTGATGTTGTCGTGATACACCTTGATGTACGGCTCCATAGCCTGCACCAGCCGGGTATGGAAGACTTCATAGAGGTCATCGTCATTGTCGCGGGAAAGGAAGGACTTCATCTTCT